GTGGCCCGCAGTCAGAGAACCATGACGCATCGAGCACACGCTATTCACGCACGCGTACGTACACACCACCGTGGCCCACCGCGAGCGTGACACGGGACATGTTTCCATGGTGCGGACAAGTAAACCAAAACAGGTTCAAATAGGTCTTTTGGAATTTTTGCGGGAGGAAAAGTATTAAGTAAGATCGAGGTAGAATTTTATTAGATAATGGCGATAAATGATATTATTGGCTGCAATACCGATCGATATTTAGCTAACCTTCTAAAAAGAGTATAACGCGCTATAATCGAAGGACAGCCAAATTTATGGGATACCCAGCCTTCCAAACGTTTCCTCGAGCCAGTGAAAACGCTTTTTCGTTTTTTAAATAACGACAACTCTTCACGGTGTTTCCCAGCCCGTATATCGGCAGGACGATCTCCTCTGGATTTGTTCACAGTAATTGTCCCACTGACACGAAAAGCAATTTGTGTGGTAACGGTATAGAGCACGGTGTCGATTCGTTCGTTTCGTGACGTAAGCTCGTTAGCGTAGTCCCTAACGTGCATGCCCCACTGGTGGCAGAATAATTATGGAAAATTATCGTCCCACGCTGGACTGGACTGGAGATGCTCGTAGGGCATGAAAAAAAGGCTCCCGCTACCGTAAATCACGTAAACCGTTGCATCAAAGGAATACCACGGCTCCTCGTTCGATCGCCCGTCCCGTTTGCTTCTTCATTTTCACGAATCAAGAAACTTAAATCGGTCCCGATCGTAGTAAAGCTCTTGCAATGGATGACGTTACTCGCACTTGAACAATTCATGCACACTTTAGGCAAATTTATATTTCGAAGTACTGGAAGTTCCTTGATGTTTCTTTATGCTGTAGAAAGATTACACCTTCATCTAAAGTGGTTATTTGTTACAATACTCTTCGTTATCGTATAACGGTCGGATCTATCTGCACAGATGTACGTCCATCAAGAAGAATACATAATCGCATAATTTTTCTAATTTTTTAAAATTGCAAAAACGGCGTTACTTTCCAGTCCACCAAATACGATATCCTTCGACCAGCTTTTCCATCGTACTTGATATGGTTTTTGTTCTTGGTCCCATCGACGATCCTCGACCTTTGAAAGGGTGTTCGACCCCCACGGAGTCCAGTGCCGTACCACACCCTGGGTTCACCAGGTTCGGTGTCAGTCGTAAGTAATGACAATGCGATGACTGGCCGAGCGCTAAACACCTGCATTCACCACCTTATCTCGCGGATCCCGCTGTTAGGACAGGTTTTCGCTATCGTTAGCCGTCCTCGACGATGGACCGTCCGGGACCATCGCTTTGGGTGGTCTCCCCGTCCAATGGGACGCAATTTTGACACGTCTCGCGCGTCCTCCTCTCCCATTGTAAACGACGTGGCTTGTCGATCGATCTGCGACTCATCGATCCAACGATTTGTAAATCCAACCCGAGCTTCTCGTTTTTTCCCCGATATCCTTGTTCTCCCGAGTCCGGAGACGGGCCTCTTCATTCGAATAACAAATTAGGAATAAAACCCGCGTGCAATAGTTCATTCGTGACGCGTCTTCGGTTCTCAATCTATTTAATATAACCCAAACAATTTACATAACACAGGCATGCGATATAGTATCATAGAAATAATCAGGAAGTGACGTTGACTCTTCTATCATATCCATTCATCTTTCATTGTGTGCTCAATGTAGACTATTATTTTAAGATTATACAATTCTGTGCTCGACATTTTAATCTAGACAAGAAATCTGCCCAACATCGCTGGTCTCTCACGCTGAGGACGGGATTCACCGAGAGTTGAAATAATCGAGACGATTCGTCGTTACCCTGAACGAAGGGACCAAGAACCGAGGGGCTCGAGGTCCTTTCGCATTTATGGGGCTCCGCCAAAACTTTGGAGAACGTCGAGAGTCTCCCGCTCCGCTTTAATAGCGACACGTTTTCGCGAGGACGGAAGTAATTAACGGTGTTCCTCCATCGAAGCGTCCCCAGGCTCGAGATTGACGATCGATATCAGCGACGATTCTGAAATTCCTGGCTTCCCTTGTCGCCCACCCCGTTCCCTCATCACGACGGCACACGCGCACCTTGATCTTATTGATCCGACATCCGTGTTGGTGTTAATTATGCCGCTCGCCGGACGACCAACCGATATCGTTACTTTAGAAACAATTTTTCAGACGGACACTATTATACTTTCAAATTGCACCTAAGGAATACACCGTGGCGACTCTAATGCGAGAGAAACTTATGTCACAGGGTAGAGGACGACGTTCGAGAGTTTTATATTCTGCATATGTAGAATATATTCTATTAATCGATATAATGATATTAATATTTCGTTTTCCATGAGTGCATATACATTTTGGTTGCGTTTCTCATGTCATATTTTCTTATATACTTTTATACAAGTTTCTCTTCCTCGTTCACGTATTATTATTAGGTTGACCCAACCATTTTTTCCGTGACTTACACACAGTTATTTTATGCGACAGTGTTTGTATAAATAGACAACTTAATTTCTTAGATGTTAACACATTGAGTACGGGAGACGATATACGTCTTTAGCAGGCACTTAAGGAAAAACCTAACATGTTCTTCGAACATTTATTCCAATTATCCAGAACTTCGAAACTCTAGCAATAATCACACATCGCGAACTTAACGATATAGGCGGGAAAAATTCTCAGCCCCTATTTCCACCCTCGCTAATGAGTGTATAACCCTTTACGGTGATCAAGAACCATCGTTCCAGGTTTAATATAGACAAATCGCGGCGATGTTCTTTTTAGACTGTTGCCCTCGATGCGAAATCTAGTCTCTCGAAGCCAATAACCCTCGATAGAAGAGTTAGAGCGTTCGTTCAGTCGAATCGACGCGTGCGAGCGTCGCAGGTGCAACCGATTCCGGAACCCAGTGCGTTTAGCCGCAGGGACGCCATCGGAGAGTCCGCGTTCGGGGGCCCGTTGAATATTTATCGGTGTTCGTCTTGTTTGTAGCTGGCCGTGGCTCGGTTGAATTTAAATATCGCGGCTTTTGCATTCCCGCGCGTGCCTTCCTCCTCGTCTCCATTTTTCCCCGGCTACGCACGTCGGCTGCTATTATTTATAGGCACCGGAGTGTACGTGTGCCGCTCGTCGCCTTGATTCTTCCCACCCCCTCTGGCCTCGCACCCTTTCGCGACAAAAGAAAAATCGCGAAAACATCGGTTAGGAATAACGAGCATCGTCCATCCCGCGGCTATGTTTAGAAACCCGACGGAAAGCAACATGTCGACGTACAAGCGACACCTGCGCGCCGTTTACGCTTATTTGCCTCGTCGTGCTATTGTCATCAGGGACAGAATCGCTGTCGTGTCACCGACGACTACATGCATTTTTTATCGCGATGGCTATAGCACTCTCAATCGACGCTCTTCTTGCAGCTACGTCTCGGACGTGCCTGACCGCGAATCGGGGACGAATTTCGATTGCAAGCGAGCACCGTAATAGCATCATTTTCTTTATCTGTTTGACGTATCGAGGATGTTAGGTAGAAAATTGTTTTCCTTATCAGAAGCGTCGCACGCTCATACTCAAGAATACGATATCCCGAGAAATTCCGGCTACAGTATTACGTATACTAATGCGTATACTTAAAATATTTATCATAATGTCTAGATTATGGGATTCCGCTGTTCAAAATTCTGCGTAAGAAATGATCAGAGCGAGAGTCGTCTTCGCTACATCGCAGGGTACCAAAACTTATAAAACTCTGAATTTAACCCGTAGCGTTCCACGTAGCGTTTTTTCACCCTTAAAATTCCTTCATCGCCAAAACAAAGAACACTCGTGATGTCATCATCGAACCACATTACCGCCAAGTCTAAAGCGTTTTTAAACGTTCTAATCGTCGAACCTCCCTCGCGGGTTAAAAATTCACCGCCCGAGGGTTACTTTCGGCGCTTCCACCCCGAGGGGGGTAACGAGACGAGACGAGAGGAGACGCAGAAGCTTGAATCGAGGGACAGGCAAAGGCAAGGGTATGCACGCAACGGAGTTTCTTCTCCCGCGGGAAGGCGTGGTCGGGAGACGCGCGACGTCCATTTGTCTCGTGCGCCTCCCGCACCAGGAACGCCCTCGCATCCCACGGGCATCGATCACGTCTTCCTCTTACCAGTCGCATCGGTCCGCGCCTGTGTACACTTTGCGCGCACCTACCCTCCCAGCGTTGTACGTGCATGTGTGCGTTCTCCGCATCCCCGTTCGCGTTCCTCCCTCGCTGAGCCTCCCGATACATTCCGTCCCCTTCCACCCGCTACGTCCCCCGACGAGCTTTCGCTACACTTTGCCGGGGAATCGTTAGGGAATATATCGCGAAACGATCTTACTCCGACCACTGGGAAGCCTGATTTGTCGGCTAAGCGTTTGCGATTTTCTGGAATAGATTGGGTAGGGTGGAATCACGGAACGGGAACCGATTCTCCTGGGTAGTTGGCTACGACCTTGATAGGCGACCTTTTCACCTATTTGCGAACTGTTATCGCGACTATTCGGAAGCTTAGTTTCGGAACTGTTGAAATTGCTCCGTTCGGGAACATCGCAGGTCTTTTGGGATTCAGGGACCATTTTCTTGCGATAGTCAGAGTTAGGAGGCCAGTAGAGTACTGTTGCTATAAGTTGAAAGTACTATAGCTTCGAATGTAATGACATGACCTACGTACGAGGTAGAGCAGTCCATTTGCAGTTATATCTACCATTGCCGATCAAATGACTGGTCTTAAAGACACTCTTCTTAATTAAAAGCAAAAATATTTTACGTGAAATTACATTGAATAATGCACGAAACAATTGTATATAATTCACGTATCGCATATATGAACTGTATTTACAAGTTTGAGAACGATCGTTTGACCGGTAGTGGTAGGTTTAGTATTAAACGATCTCAATCATCTCATTTACGAGATGTATTAGTACTCATGTATCGTTTTCCCTTTTGTTTCAGCCGGTAAGTGACACTGTTCTGTCGACTGATTTTGGTGGACAACCATACGTATGTAAGTTTCAATTATTTATAAAGAACTTCGTGGTAAAACTTCAAATTAAATCAGATTAATTCTAATGGATTATTAAATGCGAGTCCGAGCTACCCGTATCGTTGAAATTGAAATACATTTAACAAATTTTAAGTGCCCTACAAACGTCGACTTATCTGCCACCTTGGAGCACGGTGAACGCTGGTGGATCCGTCGCAATTATTTCTTCGTCGCGCCAATTAGCCAATTTATGCGTCGTTAATCAGATCCCCGGTCGAAGACGTGCGAAAGCGATACCACTCGGCGTTCAACTATGCATAAATATGCCGACACATATTTATACCTACGTATAATTCGGGCCCGTGAATATTCATACCAGTACGAATGATATAGCCACGGTCCGTCTGGTAAGCGCCGTGGCGAGATATTCGCACGAGGCTTCGCGGATTTTCGTTATCGCTGAAATCGCTGCGTTTCCGGGGAAGAGGTTCTTCGTGATATTGAAGGTGAAACGTTTCAACGCAACAAACTAAACGCACGTGCGTAGGGTCACTGTTCTAATAACTGGATAGGTAAAGAATATTACCTCCTCGAAGAATATTTATGCTCCTCCTTTAAGTAAACAGATTACCAGCGACTAAAAATGTGCCCACCCGCTTGTCCGTGAATATCGACACCGATATCGACTACTGGTTCGGTTACCTTATATTCCCACAGCATCGAAGAAACACGTTGCCAAGTATCTGATCACCGGGCCATGTCCAATCATTCGAACATCTACTTTAGACGATGACCGACCGTTTTCAACGCCGAGCACGGTTTTTATCCTAGTCCTCTTCTTGCGAGCAGTTTCCGCGGCCCCGGCAAACGGTTCACCGTCTGTCGGTCACTTCATTGCCGTAAAATATTCACCGTCATATTTTATGCAGACTCTTTAGCGTCCGCTCGAGGGATTGCATAGAAGAACGCGTTGGAAAATTGTCCCGGCACGCAACATTTCGCGGAAATACTTACAACATAATTGCGGCCGGGAGCGACGCAGGATGTCGCAGTTTGCGATTGCGTGCAGAGTGTGCGCCTCTTCAGGTTTTCGCCGAACCAGAGTTGGAATAACGGAGCGAGCCGTCGCTGGATTCGATCGTATCAAGGCTCGCTCGTGTTATCATCTGTCGCGCGAGAATCGGTGGAACTCTGTTAGAGATAGTGGAAAGGAATTACTTTCAATGTTGTTAACAAATATCGAGGAGACTTTCTTTCTTTTTAAAGAAGGGTGCCGCGATCAAAACTGGATACCAGTAGCATTTTTTAAAAAATGCAAAACAATTATTTAAAGATTTGCTTGTTTACACCATTGAATTCAGCGTGACAAACTACATGGAAGTACAAAGTTTCAAAATTTTATCTCAATAATTACTAGTTTTGGTCGGCGACCTCTCTGAAAGATTCCTTAAAAGAATCGAAACATCGTAGATGCCATAATTCCTCATCAGTTACTTTAATTTCTGTAACAAGCACGAATCGAGTCTTCGATTTCCATTCTTTACTTCTCGCGACAATTTCGTTTTGGGAAGGGGAAAGGAGTTGGCAAAGAGACTCCGATCCGTGACTTCGATGACCGAAAGGCGGCAATTAACGATAGCGCGGTCACGCATGCCTACGCCCGCAAAATTTATGCGTCGGTATTTTTCTCCTTTTTCTCGTCGCACACGCGTCAAGACCGTCGCGGCTGCAAAACGTGGACGGTGCGTTGCATATGCATGCCTCGATTGATATGAATGCATCGCTGCATACTAAACGACCGGGCCGCCTATCTGATCCCGTTTTCCTTTCGGCTGCGAAAGGTCTCCGCGCGGCTGCGATTGGCGTCTCTCGGAGCCGCCTCTCCACGCGGAAACGCGACGCGGAAATCTCTAATTATCGATCGTTAATTTACTCGATGAGGGAACGATCGAACATCTTTCGTAAAAATAGAAACGACGTTCAAACGACGTTTGCAATTAATTCCAAGACAGACATTTATACGAGCTTTTAAATATAAGTAACTGTTTTGATTTGATTGTGCAAATATCTCAGAGTAATCCTAAGTCTATCTTCCGTCAAAGGGTTATGAGTTAACTCCTTATTAGATGCCTTTAGGATGAACTTAAACTAGTAGGCAACAATTTAACTAGACTTCTTGTTGGTCGACGAGCAGTCGATTCTTAACGTTTCAGTACGAGCTCGAGCATCTTGGTCTTCTCGGATTTCCTTCCTCCAGCTTAGGATGTAAGTACCGCTGACGTCCGATGAAACGCGCTTAGATCGGACTTCGAAATAGTGCCGAGAGGGCGGCCATTATGAATATATTGGCCGGTCGAGCGAACCGGCGATTTTATCTGCGGAATTTCGAGGTCCGTCCCAAGCTGCGTGGGAGGATAATGTTTCCCCTTCTCGCGCCTTTCGCTTTTTACATCCTTCGCGGTGGTCGTTTCGTTCCCTTTTCTGCGTCTTTCGACTCTTCCTTCTCTTCTTCTTCTCCCGTCCTATCTGCTTGGCTCTTAAATCGGACGGTCTTGCATGTACCAGTGACGTCACGAGTGTTCTCCCGCCATTCTTCTTTCACCGCCGCTGTCTACCAGCGAGGACCTCCGGACAGGTTCGCATCAACGACGCTATTAAGGGAACAGACTCTCCTCGTAATGCGTCGAATTGTTGTAACGTCGTCGCTTCGAGATAACTGGAGAAACTTCGCGCGAGATGATTTAACCTCCGGCGTACGGTTCGCTGCTTAAGTCGAGAGTATCGACGATTTTCCATCGTGTTCGATCATAAGTTCACGTGTGTAAAATGCACAGTTTACTGTAAGTAACCACGAAATAAAACAAAAAACTTTAACGAACATTTACACGATTCGATAAGTTAAACTTGAAGTATGAGAAACGAGTCCAACGAATGACAGAAATAATATCATGCAAATGAAATGTTAAATCGACATCAGATCTTTTTGCTTGCAAATCCTATCTTCTTGTTGTATGATGAAAAGGTGTAGGTGTGAATGATCATGGAACTGATCAAGGATATGCGCATTCATAACGGATTATCTACCACTGATTAATTCACCAGTGAAGAGGTTAAGACAGTCTCGCTCGGTTTGTGCAATTCGTCGACTAGACGAGTCATGCGCTCCTTTATGCTCGCGTCAGGATATATTATGCTCGTATCTGGCCTCGTGGTTTCGCGCGGGGTCCCTGGGCATCAGCCAGGCTGGGCACGTTCTCCCCTCTCGCGCCTGCTATCGTATCTAATTATCGAGAAAATTACTCGATATCACGAGCCCACCGTGCCCTTCGCACGAATACGATTGCCTGTGACCACTCCACGTCGATCGCCCATTACGTCTCTATCCCGTTTTGCTTCTTGTTTCTTTTCAGCGGCTGTTTCATTGGCTCCTCGCCATTCCGTATTACCGTGTAATCGCGAGTTCGAGCACGAAGCGTTAACATCGTAGACCATCGCCGTCTTCGCGCAGTGACACGACGAATGATTGATAACGCACGCTTCCGCGATCGATAATTGAGACGCTAAAGCACTTGGAAGCCTCGACGGCCACTTTATTCGAGGAGCATCACGGCTATAGGAGCTATAGGAGTTAACTGGCAGGCATATCTATCCCGAAGATCGATACCTAATTAGGTCGAGTCCCGCGGGGATGTAACTGCCGTGTACTCGGCGTATCGGGCCTAATTATCGTGGAAATTGAGCGATATTCATTGACACGTACGGGATATCCCTGACTACCGATACGTTCCAACGGTTATGACGGTAATTGCGGTTTTCCACGGTAGGTGTTGAGTCGATCTTCGGCTCGTCGACGCTCAGGGAAAAGTAACTTGTTACCCGGGTTAATTATGAGCGCGGGCATTAAGATACATGACGCCGTTCGACTATCTTGACGCGCATCTTTTTTGTCGACACGCACTTCTGTACACGCCAGCCTCGAGGTAAACGCCGACCCAGATATTTATTATTATATTTCTTTTATCGTGCATCCCAATGCACATTACGCGTTGTTGAACGGGTCACGGGCCATCCCTGACCGCGTATTCGATTTAATCTAGGCGGGATTGAGCGTGGTCCATCATTATTTCGTTAATAACTCGTATACTTAATTGAATTTATAATTGAAGTCGTTCATGGCCCGCCGAGCGTAAAGTTTATCAGAGCGATTTTAACCCGGAGCTTCAGACTTCCATGTTGATAAAGAAATTCTTCGTTAACGAATATGTTTAACAAATGGTGGGGACAGAGGTGAACGGAAATTTAGCGAGGAGTGATTTTGTGTTGAACAAATATTTATATTTATTATAGACTAATTTTTAGCAAGTTGGTAACTCTCTGCGAGATCATCGATTTACTATTTAGAGTTCGACTATTAACGGGTTTACACGCAAACCTGACATTTTATTATCTCGTTTCCTCGGTTTGGTTCGCGATGTTGGAAGGTGGAACGACGACGTGCGTCGTCGAGACGTCATCGTCAGTAGGAGCCCCAGAAACTCCGCGCGTTCCCACGTGCAGAATGCGGGAACAATTAAAACATACTTTAATAACACCTCATCGAAGTTGCCTATTACGGCGCACGCGAGACGGTCGTGCCAGCCCCGGGGGCTGAAAACTTTTTCTCTTGGACGCGCAAAAGGCCGAGTCTAGCCCAAGATTTTTAAGTGACGAGGGTGCTCAGTCATATATCTCCCTTCTGGCTCCGCCAGAGTTTCGACGTTTGAACAGCCCACGAAATTATACGTCGGACTCTCTCGCTTTTCAACGTTAGAACACGCGTATACAGACGTCTCGAGCCTCGGACTCGGGCCACGAACGAGTTGGCGACTGACGCCGGAATGAAATTCGAAACGCAAGTAACTCTTGGACGACATCCTTAGGTGCGTAACGAAGTTTATGAGATAAATTTCGACGAATAATTACGTTCATCTTGGTCAAGATTCTTTGGCTGTCCTTCGCGAGCAATTGATTCGATCCGATCATTGAAATTATATCTTCGTACAATATCCGTCACAGTAATCTTACGCAGATTAAAAGTT